ATTTTCAGCAGAAAATTGCTCAAACTTAGTCAGAATCATCTTGGGTAAATGAGAGTTTTACTTTGTAAAATTAGGATTCCTGCCCCATCCCCAGGGGCTAGAGCGGGGCCCCAAAGGGAACATTTACCAATATTTTCAAATTATTATCCATTGATGACATGACAAGTATTGTATTTCACTTAGTTTACATGCTGATTTCCACATCACATCTAAACAATAAAATAAAGCTACCAGTACCTATGATATAACTCAGGTGACCGCTAAGGCCCTTGGGCCTCTTGTTTGATGGAGTTATGCCCCTTTGTGCAAAATACTTGTTTATTTTTTTTGTTATTTTATTTTTTTGTTTCAAAAAATTAGTGATTAACTCATTACTGGTGGGAGACTATATTGCTTTGCATAAGTAAGCCTTTAGCTTACAACAGTTCTGGTTTATATAGGAGGGGGGGATTAGTTAGCCTTTGGCTTACAGTTCTAGTTTTTATTTATTTCCCTTTTATGATTGATACAGACGGTCCATATTGGTCATAAAAAAAATTAATGTAAAATTATGATGAAAAAAAAATCTTGAAAATTTTAGGGTACGCCACTGGCAACAATCTGTGTTTGTAGTTTAATTAGCAACCGCCTTCAACCTTTTTATTTTTTCATGTGCCTCTTGCACTAAAATTGATGGATATGATACTATCAGAACTCGGTCAATAGGAACAGAAAAGAACAAGAACTCCAAAACAAAAGGGAGAGCATCAACATTTTATTTCAAGAAAATATATATTTTTGTTATACTAAAAAACAAAATCAAAAGAAAGATCATAATTTCACCCTATGCTACTAAAGTTACATAGGGGTGAAAGGGTTAAGGTAATATATTCTTGTTAAGACAATCAATTTGACCTTGAGTAATTGTGTATGTAGGTCACAAGTTTCTGGTATGTTTTAAACGCTATGCCACTGAATAAATTGATCTTTCAAGGTAATATATTTCGTTGATGATTAAGGGGTACATTTAATAGATTTCTGGGTCATGTATTTGGAAAAAATTTGACACTAGACATTGGATGTGAATGAAAATTTACTTTAGATACTATTTTTGTAGGTAACATTTTTTGGGGTTTTACATTTGTAAGTAAAGTGATATGTTTTATTTGGTTGGAAGGCAGTTCCACGGCGGACATTGGTTTTGAAGATGATTTTACACTTGGTTGCTTATATGAGTACGGCTTTTTGTTTGGGATTCTGTTTAAAACTGGTCCATCTTGATTCAACGTATTTAGCACGGATTTAGACCTTCGCATGTTTTTTGATGGTATTTTGACTTCATACATTCTGTTAGATGGTAATCCCACAGTTGATGATGTATTAAAATATTTGGCACTAGGTTTTGCATCGGAAATTAATGAGGAATTTGATTGTTTGTTTGATTGTAATTGGAACTCCTGTATTATGTCTGAAGGCAGGTCAGCATGCGGTATATTATTTACAGGTAATTTCACACCATGTATAGCGTTTAAAAAGAAACCATCTCTAGAGTTCTTATTTACTTGTAATTCAACATCATTCCATTTATTAAAGAAAAATTTATGTGATCCTTTTCTTTGACGTACATTGTCTCCAGAAAACAGCTTGTGAGATTCATTACTCTTGTTTAAAAAAATCGGGTTTGTACTGTAGGCATCATAATTCAATGAACTGTTATCAATCCACTTCAAGTACTTGGTGTCATTTAATAATGATACAAGTTTGTGAATAGAATCTTCAAAGTATTCTCCAAGAATTGCTTTCGTTTGTGGCAGCATGGCTCCTAATTTTGCTTTCAATGGGGAAACATACTGCCTTTGTCGACTAGCAACCTTTACCAAATCCGAGTAAGGCATTGGATCTACAAAGATAAAACAGTTCTTGCAGAAATATTGCAACGTATTTTGAGGTCGTGTTTTTGTACCATTTGATTGATAGCAAAATTGACAAAGGGCTCAAACGGCCTGTATCGCTCACCGAGATGTTGAAACAATAACAAGATTTTCTTATTAAACGCTGTATTACAAATATGAAATCTCCAGGGGCGGGGCCAAACTGCAGGTTATTCTGTTGTAACTGACGGAAATAGTTATAGGGTCGACAGGTGGCTATCTTGGATTTTCATAGTTCAAGTGTGTTATTGCGAAATCTCTCTTAACATACGTGATGGATCTTTCTCAAATTTTATATGTAGGTTCCCCTTGGATCCTAGTTGTGCTTGTTGTGTTTTGAGAGTGATCATAAAAACTAGATGGCCACAGGAAGAACTTAACCAATCTTTCTCATATTTCAATGATCGGTTCTATTGCTTTGACATTAAGAACTGTATTAGTAAACATGTGAAATGACAATCTCACATTGAAGGTTGTGTTTTATACACAGCAGTATGAAGATTAGAAAAAAATACCTCTAGGTGTATTTACTGTATACAGGACTCATCAAACAGATAACAGAAAAGAAGAAAAAAGATCAAACTGACAGAGCTGAAAATTGTACAATGGTGGGCGCCAAGCTCTTGTCTAGATTTAGATTCCAAACACAATATTAACTTTAAAACTGCTTACCAATATTCAGATAAAACACAAAACTAAGCGTCCCCAACTTTCCTAGATTTATATGGCAAAACACAGTATGAAACATATCTGATTTGCCTAAAGACAGTACTAAGATTCCCTGACGTTCCTGGATTTACATGTCTTACACCTTATTAACGTACAGACTTACCTATATCCAGATATCTAAGCACTGTACGAAACATCGCAGACTTACCTATATCCAGATATCTAAGCACTGTACGAAACATCGCAGACTTACCTATATCCAGATATTTAAGCACTGTACGAAACATCGCAGACTTACCTATATCCAGATATCTAAGCACTCTATGAAACATCGCTGACTTACCTAAATTTAGATGTTTAGATACAGTACTAAGCGTCCCTGACTTAGCTAGATTTTGGTTAGATGTCTAAACTATGAAACATCGCTGACTTACCTAAATTTAGATGTTTAGATACAGTACTAAGCGTCCCTGACTTAGCTAGATTTTGGTTAGATGTCTAAACTATGAAACATCGCTGACTTACCTAAATTTAGATGTTTAGATACAGTACTAAGCGTCCCTGACTTAGCTAGATTTTGGTTAGATGTCTAAACTATGAAACATCGCTGACTTACCTAAATTTAGATGTTTAGATACAGTACTAAGCGTCCCTGACTTAGCTAGATTTTGGTTAGATGTCTAAACTATGAAACATCGCTGACTTACCTAAATTTAGATGTTTAGATACAGTACTAAGCGTCCCTGACTTAGCTAGATTTTGGTTAGATGTCTAAACTATGAAACATCGCTGACTTACCTAAATTTAGATGTTTAGATACAGTACTAAGCGTCCCTGACTTAGCTAGATTTTGGTTAGATGTCTAAACTATGAAACATCGCTGAATTACCTAAATTTAAAAATCTAAACACAGTACTTAGCGTCCATGACTTACCTAGATTAAGATATCTAAACACAGTACTTAGCGTCCATGACTTACCTAGATTAAGATATCTAAACACAGTACTGAGCGTCCCTGACTTACCTAGATTTAGATATCTAAACACAGTACTGAGCGTCCCTGACTTACCTAGATTGAGATATCTAAACACAGTACTGAGCGTCCCTGACTTACCTAGATTTAGATATCTAAACACAGTACTGAGCGTCCCTGCCGTATCCTGCTGATAATCGTCGTTGGTCAGAAGGAGTATTTGGTTCCTGGGGAACACCTTCAGCCACTCCGTCAAGTGTAAGTAATACAAACTGGCGTGGAGCGGAGCCTGCAATGTCATACTCTACGTTTTAAACAACTCAATTATTCTGATAACTGTTAAATATTCAATCTAATTGGATTTAATAACGATATTTATAACGACTTTAGTTAATTCTGTTACAATTATAAACCTCAATTGAAAAGAATCCCTCGATGCTTAAGGGGTTACGCCCACTTTCACGCTTTGCACTTCTGGAATATGTCATAGCAAAATTGAAGGCACGCGGCAAGCTGATTGATTAGTCTAGGGTAAAAAAGACCTGACCAATCGCTAGGCTGATTCCTGTCATTTGAAAATAACAGAGGAGCGACATCGGGCTTGAAAGCTAGTCAATTTTACCGTTACCTGACCGAGAGATTATTTTGATGTACATCAAACGATCTAACAAGGCTTCTTGTCTCATTCACCAGGTGGTGCTCATTTAGCCTTCGTGACATACTTTATGTGTGTAGAGATGGTAGTGACTGTAACCCCTGGAGTGTCGAGGTTTTTGAAATGCTGTACGTATACATACAAAAATATTGTAAATAAAACATTTATTTTAGGTAATGCTTGAAGTCTTAAATGCATTTATCTTGCCTTTATAAATTTGATGTCCATTGTGACAGGACAATATGATATGGATTCTGTGACGTCATTTAATGAAGTCTTTATAGGTTAATTTATTCATATAAAGCTATATGACATCTGTGTAGAAATTGAATATTACACTAATCATGTGATAAATGCAGATCTTTTCATTTAACAGCAAGAATCATCCTCGATGCTCCAGGGGTTAAGCGGTTTGGATTTTGTTTCCCTGTGCTGGAACAGTACTTCTTTACTATACAATACACAGTTCTAACCTTACCTTACCCTACATGGACAATCTTAGAGTGCTTCTTTACCTTCATTCTTAAACCATGTTTATATACACAAGCCCGTAGCCGGCCATTGCTCTCACAGTCTCTCAGATACTTGATGGTCTGTACAACATGAAAGTGGAACGACTCTTTGTTGTCCCCTAGGTGTATGTGAAGGTAGTGAGAATATGTTCTGAAATTAAAGACAGTCACTGGTGAACATGGCACTTAAAAGGGAAACCCTGTACTAATTATCATATGTATGGCTATTTCCGGAAAGAATTTCGTTTCATTTCTTATAAATAGCTCTGGGATCCTACCCGTTCTTGCTAATTAACACACATACTTCATGTGCGTCCGAGGCTGTCAAACTCTCTAGACTTCGCGACTTACCACGTCTTTTAATAACTCTAGACTTCACACGGCTAACCAGATCTGTTAATTACTCTAGACTTCACAGCTAACCAGATATGTTAATTACTCTAGACTTCACACGGCTAACCAGATCTGTAAATTACTCTAGACCTCACGGCTAACCAGATCCATTTATAACTCTAGACTTCACGGCTAACCAGATCTGTTAAGAACTCTTGACTTCACGGCTTACCCGATCTGTTTATAACTCTAGACTTCACAGCTAACCAGATCTGTTAATTACTCTAGACTTCACAGCTAACCATATCTGCCTAAAACTTCAGAACTCACGACTAATCAGATTTGTTTAAAGATCTAGACTTCACGGTTTAACATATCTACTGATAACTTTAGGGCTCATGGCTAAACATATTTGTTTATAACTCTAGACTTCACAGCTTACCATATCTGATAATAACTTTAGAGCTCACGGCTACCCAGATTTGTTTAGAGCTGAAGACTTCACGGCTTACCATATCTGCTAATAACTTTAGAGCTCACGGCTACCCATATTTGTTTATATCTCTAGACTTCACGGCTTACCATATCTGATAATAACTTTAGAGCTCACGGCTACCCAGATTTGTTTAGAGCTGTAGACCTCACGACTAACCAGATCTGTTAATTACTCTAGTCCTCACAGTTAACCAGATCTGTTAATTACTCTAACTTCACAGCTTACCAGATCTACGAATAACTTAAAGAGCTCACGGCTAACCAGATTTGTTTAGTGCTCTAGACTTCACGGCTTACCATATCAGCTAATAGCTTTTGAGCTCACAGCTAACCAAATATGCTAAAAACTCTAATCAAATAATTATGTTAATAATCTCTAAAACGACCAGCTTAAAAGTGTTCTCAAACACACCTCTCAGCTGGCTCTCTTAAGAGTGCTATCAGTTTGACGTCAGGGTTAACGTGACGAACTAAATTTGGTGTGGTCACTTCCGGTTCCTGTGTCATTGGGTTGTTTTGCGATATCTTCCGCCATCTTGTAAAATCCCAAATATCCATCGGATCCCCATGCCCTACAATTTTGTAAAACATACGACACTACCATGACATTAGGTTAAGTTAACAATTAATTTATATAGGTTCATGGTATATTGTAAATTAGATATTCTGTAAAAAAAAGATGCTTAGATAATATGATAAAATGAAGTGTAATAGTGGGAATTTTTCGCGGTGTAGAAATATTATAGTTTTCGCGATTTTTGTAGTGAGTAAATCAGCTCAAAAATATCTACACGCGAATATTTCTTTTAATATTATATAGATAATAGATATATATAGAATAGAAAGATTTCAGAACCATTCCAAACGCAAAATGATCAACAGGGACTAACTCTCAGTGTCAGGAGTCACATTGCGAAAATTTCCTCGCGCGTGATTTACCACTTTTCAGTATTTTTATAAAACATTTAATAACGATCACATCAAATTTAAACAAAAAACAATGAAAAGGGGACAATTTTGATAAACTTATTCGGAATACCTGTCACGAGTTGATGGTACGGAGAATGTCCATCCACGTTTGTCATGAAACTTTCTATCATCTTCGCATCGAAAAAATCAGTAAAGTTCCTAAGAGTCATTGCCTGGTCTGAAGAGAAGAAGGTAAAACATTAATGAGAATATTGATGGTTTGTATCATAACGAGTTCGTCCATCCTCATTTGTACCGTAATTTGTTAACCTACATTGCAGAATCAAAGCACTATGTGAAGTTCGCTTAAAAATACAATTTCGGTTGAATGTAAGCCGCATGAGGTCATTGCAATTTCACGGCTTAGGTAAAGAATGAGTCTTTTTTCCAAAAGGTGATCAAAGCTATATCTGATAATATCACAGCTAATAGATCAGTAATAATATGTTTAAGAAAATCGTATAAAAAGCAATAGAGAATGCACTTAAAAGATAACATCATACTGTAGAAAAGAATGAACTAAAAAGATAACATCAAACTGTTATAAAGAATGAATTTAAATGATAACATCATACTGGTATAAAGAATGCACTACAAAGATAACATCATACTGTAAAAAAGAATGAACTAAAAAGATAACATCAAACTGTTAAAAAGAATGAACTACAAAGATAACATCAACCTGTTATAAAGAATGAACTTAAAAGATAGCATGATACTGTTATAAAGAATGCACTACAAAGATAACATCATACTGTTATAGAGAATACACTACAAAGATAACATCATTCTGTAATAAAGAATGCACTACAAAGATAACAGCATACTGTAATAAAGAATGCACTACAAAGATAACATCATACTGTCATAGAGAATGCACTACAAAGATAACATCATACTGTTATAGAGAATGCACTACAAAGATAACATCATTCTGTAATAAAGAATGCACTACAAAGATAACATCATACTGAAATAAAGATTTCACTACAAAGATAACATCATACTGGTATAGAGAATGCACTACCAAGATAACAGCATAATGTTATAGAGAAAGGACTACAAAGATAACATCATACTGTTATAAAGAATGCACTACAAAGATAACATCAACCTGTTATAAAGAATGAACTTAAATGATAACAGCATACTGTTATAGAGAATGCACTACAAAGATAACATCATACTGTTATAAAAAATTCACTACAAAGATAACATCATTCTGTAATAAAGAATGCACTACAAAGATAACATCATACTGTAATAAAGATTTCACTTTAATGATAACATCATACTGTTATAGAGAATGCACTACCAAGATAACAGCATAATGTTATAGAGAATGCACTACAAAGATAACATTCTGTAATAAAGAATGCACTACAACGATAACATCATACTGTAATAAAGATTTCACTTTAATGATAACATCATACTGTTATAGAGAATGCACTACAAAGATAACATTGTTATAGAGAATGCACTACAAAGATAACATTCTGTAATAAAGAATGCACTACAACGATAACATCATACTGTAATAAAGATTTCACTACAAAGATAACACCATACTGTTATAAAGAATGCACTACAAAGATAACATCATTCTGTAATAAAGAATGCACTACGAAGATAACATCATACTGTAATAAAGATTTCATTACAAAGATAACATCATACTGTTATAGAGAATGGACTACAAAGATAACATCATTCTGTAATAAAGAATGCACTACAAATATAACATCATACTGTTATAGCGAATGCACTACAAAGATAACATCATACTGTTATAAGAAATTCACTACAAAGATAACATCATTCTGTAATAAAGAATGCACTACGAAGATAACATCATACTGTAATAAAGATTTCATTACAAAGATAACATCATACTGTTATAGAGAATGAACTACAAAGATAATATCATACTGTAATAAAGAATGCACTACAAAGATAACATCATTCTGTAATAAAGAATGCACTACGAAGATAACATCATACTGTAATAAAGATTTCATTACAAAGATAACATCATACTGTTATAGAGAATGCACTACCAAGATAACAGCATAATGTTATAGAGAATGCACTACAAAGATAACATTCTGTAATAAAGAATGCACTACAACGATAACATCATACTGTAATAAAGATTTCACTTTAATGATAACATCATACTGTTATAGAGAATGCACTACCAAGATAACAGCATAATGTTATAGAGAATGCACTACAAAGATAACATCATACTGTATAAAGAATGCACTAAAAAGATAACATCATACTGTAATAAAGATTTCACTATAAAGATAACATCATACTGTTATAGAGAATGCAATACAAAGATAACATCATTCTGTAATAAAGAATGCACTACGAAGATAACATCATACTGTAATAAAGATTTCACTACAAAGTTAACATCATACTGTTATAGAGAATGCACTACAAAGATAATATCATTCTGTTATAAAGATTTCACTACAAAGATAACATCATACTGTTATAAAGAATGAACTTAAATGATAACATCATACTGTTATAAAGAATGCACTAAAGAAGATAACAGCATACTGTTATACTGTTAAACTGTTAAAAAGAATGAACTACAAAGATAACATCAACCTGTTATAAAGAATGAACTTAAATGATAAAAGCATACTGTTATAGAGAATGCACTACAAAGATAACATCATACTGCTATAAAAAATTCACTACAAAGATAACATCATTCTGTAATAATGAATGCACTACAAAGATAACATCATACTGTTATAAGAAATTCACTACAAAGATAACATCATTCTGTAATAATGAATGCACTACAAAGATAACATCATACTGTTATAAAGATTTCACTACAAAGATAACAGCATACTGTTATAAAGAATGCACTACAAAGATAAAATCAACCTGTTATAAAGAATGAACTTAAATGATAACAGCATATTGTTATAGAGAATGCACTTAAAAGATAACATCATACTGTTATAAAGAATGCACTAAAGAATGCACTACAAAGATAACATCATACTGTAATAAAGATTTCACTATAAAGATAACATCAACCTGTTATAAAGAATGAACTTAAATGATAACATCATACTGTTATAAAGAATGCACTAAAGAATGCACTACAAAGATAACATCATACTGTATAAAGAATGCACTAAAAAGATAACATCATACTGTAATAAAGATTTCATTACAAAGATAACATCATACTGTTATAGAGAATGCACTACCAAGATAACAGCATAATGTTATAGAGAATGCACTACAAAGATAACATTCTGTAATAAAGAATGCACTACAACGATAACATCATACTGTAATAAAGATTTCACTACAAAGATAACATCAACCTGTTATAAAGAATGAACTTAAATGATAAAAGCATACTGTTATAGAGAATGCACTACAAAGATAATATCATTCTGTTATAAAGATTTCACTAAAAAGATAACAGCATACTGTTATAAAGAATGCACTACAAAGATAAAATCAACCTGTTATAAAGAATGAACTTAAATGATAACATCATACTGTTATAAAGAATGCACTAAAGAAGATAACAGCATACTGTTATACTGTTAAACTGTTAAAAAGAATGAACTACAAAGATAACATCAACCTGTTATAAAGAATGAACTTAAGTGATAACAGCATACTGTTATAGAGAATGCACTACAAAGATAACATTCTGTAATAAAGAATGCACTACAACGATAACATCATACTGTAATAAAGATTTCACTTTAATGATAACATCATACTGTTATAGAGAATGCACTACCAAGATAACAGCATAATGTTATAGAGAATGCACTACAAAGATAACATTGTTATAGAGAATGCACTACAAAGATAACATTCTGTAATAAAGAATGCACTACAACGATAACATCATACTGTAATAAAGATTTCACTACAAAGTTAACATCATACTGTTATAGAGAATGCACTACCAAGATAACAGCATAATGTTATAGAGAATGCACTACAAAGATAACATTCTGTAATAAAGAATGCACTACAACGATAACATCATACTGTAATAAAGATTTCACTTTAATGATAACATCATACTGTTATAGAGAATGCACTAAAAAGATAACATCATACTGTAATAAAGATTTCACTACAAAGTTAACATCATACTGTTATAGAGAATGCACTACCAAGATAACAGCATACTGTTATAGAGAATGCACTACAAAGATAATATCATTCTGTTATAAAGATTTCACTACAAAGATAACAGCATACTGTTATAAAGAATGCACTACAAAGATAACATCATACTGTAATAAAGAATGCACTACAAAGATAACATCATTCTGTAGAATTAACTGACATATCAAGTGACGTTACCTGAACAGGCCTAATGTGCTATTTCCTGTATCGTATTCATTCAATTTGTATTCGAATGGCTTCCGCGATATGTCGGAAAATATCCATGTTGTTTTACATAATATAGATGTGCATACTCAGATTACCATACGTCTCCAGTCTTACAGTGTTCATAATATAATACCGTTACTTGTTATACGAGCATTTTGCGATGTTTTGCTTGACACTGCAGGCTAAATGCGTTTATTTTGAAGTAAGAAATCATGTAATGACATAACAGGAATCAAAAACGATTGCTCAATCGTATAGCGTTAATGATGTTTTATTTATTAGCTTTGTGCCCTAAATTCAGAGCATACTATAAAAAGATGTTCGCGGATGATTTATGCAAAGTGCACACATATCTTTTCAGATTATACCGTATACTCCTTTCCCCTAAAATAATCTTGTTATTCCTTTAATATAAATTATAAGCATTTAAGTAAAAGAAATCCAGGTTATTGTTACACTAGAATGATCCCATTATATATCAATTCATCCAAACGTATTTCTTACATTTTTAAACATTTTTAAGCAGGTTTTACCACCTGTTACTGATTTGCCATTACACTGCTAACGTCTGTGAATTAATAAGTTAAAGAGATTCAGGTTATTATATTAAAATGATAACATCTCTTATTACTTTAAAAAGATATTTCCTAAAAATGTATTTGTCGATTTAAACAATTTTGAAATAAGGTTTTACCACCTGGTACTGATTTGACATTATAGACTAAAAATCTTCCGAATAAACTATTAAAAGTCAATGTACAACTGCATCAACCTGTTATTATGCAGTGGTATGACAATAGCTTTGAAGAGAAAACCAAACTTCGCGGGACATATATGGAAATCAAAACAGTGTTTTAACTATATTTGAAATTGAAACAGGTCTAGACCTGGATTTAATTCTTGACCTCTGGTCATTATACTGTACATTTATCTTGCTAAGACTTATTTATGTTACAGTTAAATCAGAATGAAATTAAAGAGAGGCTAACGTATGCACACACAAACATACACAGTGGAAATATATAATGTTTTGCCTGCAACGGGACAGGGCACCTTTAGAGATAATTCACACAAACGAAAAATTAAGTTGTTGATAGTTACAATGCTTTGCAGTATGCACTACTCCATAGACGTGGAGGCTTCGCTGAGGATTAGTGTAGAAGCGTATGGAATAAAGATGAAAATTAGTTGCATATACAAGTTGCCCCGATCTGCGAACCCCCGAAAATAAGCAAATTGCTGCTCTGTAACATAAATAAACCCATTGTTTTTGAGAATGCATATTTACAAACCCTCATGAATCTCTTCGGCACTGAAGATATTACGTACGAGCGAAAAAATCTCACGCTCGTGTATTTTATGTTTAAACCAGACCAATTGTATGGAAGACCATTTTATCCCCAGAATGAAGTTTGCAGTAAAGTAACATACCTGGAATGGTTTGATTATGTCGAACTCCAATCATCCGGTCTGTTTGAAATAAAAAAAAAAAAAAAAAAGATTTCTGATTAGCAGTAAACTAGCGGACATACCAACGTCTTTGTACATACATCGTCTAAATACTTCATTTCTCTGTACCACTAATATACGCCATTGGGTGGTCGGGTGGTGCAGTGGATAGCGCACTTGCCTTTCACTAAGGCAGCCGGGATTCGATTCCACGATCAGACGTGAAAAGGTATTGGGTCACCTGCCCGACCACGTGAGTTTTCTCCGGGAACTCCGAGTTCCTCCCACATTTAGACCCTCCGCGCGCTAACATTTTTACGACGCTTTATATACGTTAAACTATTTGTAATTAATTAATGAAAATTCTGTTTATTATCTAATTAAGGAATGAGATTAAAAAAGTCATTAATTCACAAAACGTTTCACTGTTTTATAAATTTGGATTTCAGAGAACGAGAGAGAAAAAATAATCGTCTTGAGGTAAGGAATCCTGACGCTCCGTGTAGACAAGTATTTCTTATATCACCTGTGGCCGCTGTCACTATAAATATATATACTGTCATATCCAGAAAGGTATGTAGGTCACCAACAATGGTTCGTTTTAACATTGTAAAAAAGCTTTAAATCAAGTCAGGCTAAGAAATAGCATAGCAAGAAAATCCGTCAAGTAACAACCTGACATTTCCTTTAGAGTGTATGTTAAAATTGCACATTAGGGGAAACTGCAATGATTCACACTGACAGCAATAAAGAAAGAATAGAGCTAATGGGATTGCAGTATTGTTGTTTACACTACTTTCCATATCGTTACCATTTTACAAAACAGAGACTGCAGCTGATGCTTCAATACTGCAGTGAACCTTACTTACCGTGTCGTTAGCAGTTGAAAAGAAATACTTGGACGGAGACTTCAATACTGTATAGAACGTGTCTTACCATATCGTTAGCAATAAACAGAACATATTAATACTATGGAGAACCTTACTGACCATATCGTTAGCAACATTTTAAACATAAACTTGGACGGAGGCTTCGATATTGTAGAGAACGTTTCTTACCATATCGTTAGCAACCTTATAAACATAAACCTGGACGGAGGCTTCAATACTGAATAGAACGTTTCTTACCATATCGTTAGCAATATTCTAAACATAAACTTGGACGGAGGCTTCAATACCGAGGAGAAGGTTTCTTACCATATCGTTAGCGACACTATAACATATACTTGGACGGAGGCTTCAATACTGAATAGAACGTTTCTTACCATATCGTTAGCAATATTCTAAACATAAACTTGGACGGAGGCTTCAATACCGAGGAGAAGGTTTCTTACCATATCGTTAGCGACACTATAACATATACTTGGACGGAGGCTTCAATACTGGATAGAACGTTTCTTACCATATCGTTAGCAACCTTCTAAACATATAGTTGGACGGAGGCGTGAATACTGTAGAGAACGTTTCTTATCATATCGTAAGGAATATTCTAAACATAAACTTGGACGGAGGCGTGAATACTGTAGAGAACGTTTCTTACCATATCGTTAGCAACATTATAAACATGAATTTGTACGGAGGCTTCAATACTGTGGAGAACGTTTCTAACCATATCGTTAGCGACATTATAACATATACTTGGAAAGAGACTTCAATACTGTGGAGAACGTTTCTTACCATATCGTTAGCAACATTATAAACATATACCTGGACGAAGGTTTCGATACTGTAAAGAACGGTTCTAACCATATCGTTAGCAACATTAAAAACATAAACTTGGACGGAGGCTTCAATACTGTAGAGAACGTCTCTTACCATATCGTTAGCAATATTATACACATAAACTTGGACGGAGACTTCGATACTGTGGAGAACGTTTCTTACCATATCGTTAGCAACATTATAAACATAGACCTTGACGGAGGCTTCAATACTGTAGAGAACGTTTCTAACCATATCGTTAGCAATATTTTAACATATACATGGACGGAGGCTTCAATACTGTAGAGAACGTTTCTAACCATATCGTTGGCAATATTTTAACATATACATGGACGGAGGCTTCAATACTGTGGAGAACGTTTCTTACCATATCGTTAGCAATATTTTAACAATTACATGGACGGAGGCTTCAATACTGTAGAGAACGTTTCTAACCATATCGTTAGCAATATTTTAACATATACATGGACGGAGGCTTCAATACTGTGGAGAACGTTTCTTACCATATCGTTAGCAACATTCGAAACATATAGTTGGACGGAGGCGTGAATACTGTAGAGAACGTTTCTTACCATATCGTAAGGAATATTCTAAACATAAACTTGGACGGAGGCTTCAATACAGTAAAGAACGTTTCTAACCATATCGTTAGCAACATTATAAACATGAATTTGGACGGAGGCTTCAATACTGTGGAGAACGTTTCTAACCATATCGTTAGCGACATTATAACATATACTTGGAAAGAGACTTCAATACTGTGGAGAACGTTTCTTACCATATCGTTAGCAACATTATAAACATATACTTGGACGGAGGATTCAATACTGTAGAAAACGTTTCTATCCATATCGTTAGCAATATTATACACATATACCTGGACGAAGGTTTCGATACTGTAAAGAACGTTTCTAACAATATCGTTAGCAACATTAAAAACATAAACTTGGACGGAGGCTTCAATACTGTGGAGAACGTTTCTAACCATATCGTTAGCGACATTATAACATATACTTGTAAAGATATTTCAATACTGTGGAGAACGTTTCTTACCATATCGTTAGCAACATTATAACATATACTTGGACGGAGACTTCGATACTGTGGAGAACGTTTCTTACCATATCGTTAGCAACATTAAAAACATAAACTTGGACGGAGGCTTCAATACTGTAGAGAACGTTTCTTACCATATCGTTAGCAATATTATACACATAAACTTGGACGGAGGCTTCAATACTGTAGAGAACGTTTCTTACCATATCGTTAGCAACATTATAACATATACTTGGACGGAGACTTCGATACTGTAGAAAACGTTTCTTACCGTATCGTTAGCAACATTATAAACATATACTTGGAAGGAGGTTTCGATACTGTAGAGAACGTTTCTAACCATATCGTTAGCAACATTAAAAATATATACTTGGGAAGAGGCTTCAATACTGTAGAAAACGTTTCTTACCATATCGTTAGCAACATTATAAACATATTCTTTGACGTAGGCTTCAATACTGTAGAGAACGTTTCTTACCATATCGTTAACAACGTTGTAAACATAAATTTGGACGGAGGCTTCAATACTGTGGAGAACGGTTCTAACCATATCGTTAGCAACATTAAAAATATATACTTGGGGAGAGGCTTCAATACTGTAGAGCACGTTTCTTACCATATCGTTATCAACATTATAAACATATTCTTTGACGGAGGCTTCAATACTGTGGATAACGTTTCTTACCATATCGTGAGCAATATTTTAACATATACATGGACGGAGGCTTCAATACTGTATAGAACGTTTCTTACCATATCGTGAGCAATATTTTAACATATACATGGACGGAGGCTTCAATACATACTGTAAAGAACGTTTCTAACCATATCGTTAGCAACATTAAAAATATATACTTGGGAATAGGGTTAAATACTGTAGAGAACGTTTCTTACCATATCGTTAGCAACATTATAAACATATTCTTGGACGGAGGCTTCAATACTGTAGAAAACGTTTCTTACCATATCGTCAGCAACATTATAAACATATTCTTTGACGGAGGCTTCAATACTGTAGAGAACGTTTCTTACCATATCGTTAACAACGTTGTAAACATAAATTTGGACGGAGGCTTCAATACTGTGGAGAACGTTTCTAACCATATCGTTAGCGACATTATAACATATACTTGGACGGAGGCTTCAATACTGTGGATAACATTTCTTACCATATCGTTAGCAATATTATAAACATATACTTGGACGGAGGCTTCAATACTGTAGAAAACGTTTCTTACCATATCGTTAGCAACATTTTAAACATATACTTGGACGGAGGCTTCAATACTGTAGAAAACGTTTCTTACCGTATCGTTAGCAACATTATAAACATATACTTGGAAGGAGGTTTCGATACGGTAGAGAACGTTTCTAACCATATCGTTAGCAGCATTAACAATATATACTTGGGAAGAGGCTTAAATACTGTAGAGAACGTTTCTTACCATATCGTTAGCAACAATATAAACATCTTCTTGGCCGGAGGCTTCAATACTGTAGAAAACTTTTCTTACTATCGTTAGCAACATTATAACATATACTTGGACGGAGGCTTCAATACTGTAGAGAACGTTTCTTAGCATATCATTAGCAGCATTATAACATATACTTGGGCGGAGGCTTCAATACTGTAGAAAACGTTTCTTACCGTATCATTAGCAACATTATAAACATATACTTGGAAGGAGGTTTCGATACTGTAGAGAACGTTTCTAACCATATCGTTAGCAACATTAAAAATATATACTTGGGAAGAGGCTTAAATACTGTAGAGAACGTTTCTAACCATATCGTTAGCAACATTATAAACATATTCTTGGACGGAGGCTTCAATACTGTAGAGAACGTTTTTTACCATATCGTTAGCAACGTTATAACATATACTTGAACGGAGGCTTCAATACTGTAGAGAACGTTTCTTACCATATCGTTAGCAACATTATAAACATATTCTTGGACGGAGGCTTCAATTCTGTAGAGAACGTTTCTTACCATATCGTTAGCAACGTTATAACATATACTTGAACGGAGGCTTCAATACTGTAGAGAACGTTTCTTACTATATCGTTAGCAACGTTATAAACATAAACTTGAACGGAGGCTTCAATACTGTAGAGAACGTTTCTTACCATATCGTTAGCAACGTTATAACATAAACTTGGACGGAGGCTTCAATACCGGAGAGAAGGTTTCTTACCATATCGTTAGCAATATTTTAACATATACATGGACGGAGGCTTCAATACTGTGGAGAACGTTTCTTACCATATCGTCAGCAACATTATAACATAAAATTAGACGGAGGCTTCAATACTGTAGTGAACGTTTCTTACCATATCGTCAGCAACATTATAACATAAACATCGACGGAGGCTTCAATACTGTAGTGAACGTTTCTTACCATATCGTAAGCAACATTATAACATAAACTTGGACGGAGGCTTCAATACTGTAGAAAACGTTTCTTACCATATCGTTAGCAACATTAAAACATAATCTTGGACGGAGGCTTCAATACTGTAGAGAACGTTTCTTACCATATCGTTAGCAATATTCTGAACATAAACTTGGACGGAGGCTTCAATACTGTGGAGAACGTTTTTACCATATCGTTAGCAACATTATAACATATACTTGGGAAGAGGCTTCAATACTGTAAAGAACGTTTCTAACCTTATCGTTAGCAACATCATAAACATAAAGTTGGACTGAGGCTTCAATACTGTAGAGAACGTTTCTTACCATATCTTTAGCAATATCATAAACATAAAGTTGGACGGAGGCTTCAATACTGTAGAGAACGTTTCTTACCATATCGTTAGCAACATTATAAACATATACTTGGAAAGAGGCTTCAATACTGAAATGTACCCTACATCAGGTATAGTTAGCAATATAGAAATCGTAGACTTGGACGGAATAAAAGCTTCAAAATATTATGAACCCCATGTACCATATCGTTTCCAGCTCCAGAACCATGTCTCTTTGGACAGAACTCCTTTGTTTGGGAGGATCTGTGGATGGTGCACCATACGATGGAAAAGGTCCGTTGTCCCAGACTTGCACGTCCCAAAAATGTGGAAGTAAGGTAGACAACGAAGAGCACCAGTAATACTATCCCTCCAACACGGATTTTTGTAGTTAGGAAGGAATTTAGGTCTGTCCTGAAATTGAAAAGACAGCAACGTTACTGCTGGCATCAAGATTGAACATACAGAACAAAACGCATACACTAACAATAAAGAAAAAAACATTGATATAAGGAAACATTCATTTGGCTACAGAACTGTTGAAACATACAGGCTACAACAATTAGAGGCTTTGAAAGTATTATGGACAATCATTTGATACATCTTGAACTTTAAATTAATCACCTAGCTAGCTACAAATCTAACAATGGCAGTGATTTTTAAAATTAAAACTGTTAATTATATGATATGGACATAGAGGCAAGTAATTGCCTGCGTCCATCATCTATCCTATTAAATCCTATTACATCTACACCACAGCGCCAACAGTATCAAAAGAAGCCGACAACAGCATTAATAGATAAAAAAAACACGGCAAAGCAAAAGAGGAAACATTTTGCGCTTACAAACAATTTCTTATTGAAAGTAGGTGTTTAGGAAGGGTGGGTCTATATATAAATGTATATATTATATGTATGAATATTATAGCATAAATCAGCAGAAAGGAAAAAATATACTATCACATCAACACACAAAGACAAAATAAACCTCATTTCGACATGAAATATGTAAGTTAGATAAATACTGGCTTAACTCTAACATACTGCCGAATCAAAAACACTTTACACCAGAACTTGTAATGCAAACGTTCCTTTGAACTGGTAATACAAGCGTTCCTTTGAACTGGTAATGCAAGCGTTCCTTTGAACTGGTAATGCAAGCGTTACTTTGAACTGGTAATACAAGCGTTCCTTTGAACTGGTAAAACAAGCGTTCCTTTGAACTGGTAATACAAGCGTTCCTTTGAACTGGTAGTACAGGTGTGATTGAGTGATATCAATCATGATGTGACCTGTCTAATCCATAAAGAGTTGAGGTCAACAATGAACCTCAACGAGTACAATATATGATCAGATTAATCTTTTTAACATTATGTGTTAGGTACCAAACTCGTACAAACACGTTCCCATACTCTGCGATTGCGACCTTAAGATGCGCCATACCTGTCAACCAATCCTATCATGAAAAAGAATATTCTAAACCATCTTTCTGTGCGGTTGCTGTCGGTTAGTGATACAATTTACAGATGACCGAAATGTCCTTTTTAAAATCTCTATTAACCGGCTTCTGATTTCATTTCCGCACAATAAGTCCGGATAATAACCACGCCGGATAGCTACCAGGTAGACAAACAGTTTTCTAATTTAACAGTAAACCAGACTTACCATACACAATATGTTTTCCACTTTCGGGACTTCTCTTGGATTTTCGCAGTGATACACTGCCTTGGTTTTGTCCCGGCTTGCTTGGACAGGTTGCTGTACGGATCTTGAATGTGCTTTAATTTGTCGAACACGCTCAGAACTATCGACTCCATCAGCATTGGTATGAAGGCCATGGGTTTGTCCCCGCATATATCTTACTTCATTAGTACGTGTTTGTTTGCTTGAGACGCCAATTTGTTTCTTCTCTGTAAATGTATCAAAGCTTAGGGGTTCCGGCATGCCTAAATCTTTGTTTATTAATTGGTCGCGAAGAATTAATCCATTGTGTGCAAGAGCTTCTTGATTTTGCATATTTATATCTTGTATCTCTTGTAACCTATAAAACAGGTTATTATTGAGCAATTCATTGCTGAAAACCTTCTTACTTTGTCTGACCCTTCCAGCTATTTCAGGAAATTGTCTTTGAAATTTCAATTTACTAGTCAATTTGTTTTCTTTTGCTTCATCTAGATGTTTTGTGTGGAGAAGCTCTGTTTCCTTTCTTGTGAAACTTTTAAATAGTTTTGGCTGCTGTAAGTCGTGTGCAACCATCTCTTTCTGAGCTAATACTCGATTTTGTTTCAGTATGTTGATACCAAAGCTATCATAACTTGGATTCTGTAGTGGGGTTTCAATTGGATGTTGCTGCTGCTGTTGCAAAATTTCTTTCGAGTAAAACCCATTATTTGATTTATTATGATTCTTTATATATTTTAACGCATTAATGGAATGATGTTTCATTGGCTTTGATGTTGCTTTTGGAGCAGTTAAAGTTTCTTGTTGTTTACTAGTACGAATTATTGAATAAATATTCTTTTTCACAACCCCGTTTTGTGTTGTGAAATTACAATCACGTCCAGGGGTTCTATCAAGCGCCTTCGTTCTATGAACCCCATATGTATTGTCACTGTGAGTGATGTTGGCCTGGAATGTGATCACGTGACGTGAAGTAAGACTGATATCATAATTGATCGACTTCAGGATGAATGTTATTGTGAGGACCAGACACACGCCAAGTACTATAGCAATGCGTCGCCGGCCGCTGAAATGACAAGAAAAACGTGCAATTAAAGATAAATAAAATAGAAAAATGTAAAACAGTGTCAGCACTCAATGCGTAGTATACAGGAATCGATTAGGCACTAAAACCATTGTGATTGACAATTTGACACTGAAATCAGGAGTTGGTTACAACCATAGGGTTTCTTCATTACAGATAGACTATCTATACTGTGTTCAGGGAAATTTTCGCTGCAGTTTAATTTTCGCCCTTTTCGCCCACCGTAATGATTGCGAATTTATCATCACAGCGAACATCAGTAAACAACAGATAATATACATAGTAATTAAATGTAAAGGGCAAAATTAACACTTGGTGAATATATGGATTATCCTGGCAAAGTGCGATAGTTTTACTGGGCGAAGCCCCAGTGCACAGTATGGTCTACCCGAGAGTGTAGAATTCGGGTCAGAACCGAGGGTTGGCCGAGGTTCTGACATCAACATCTGCACCCGAGGGTTGAATGTCCATATCCTTCATACTTGCATTATGAATGACTCCTTTTCTCCACCCGAACATTTGCTAACACAGGACAAAGACAACGCAAATGCAACACTTGATAAAGCAAAATTTCTAGATAATGTATAAACAAACTAGGATCCTATCAAAATAAATATGCTTTATTTATTTTACAGCAATTATAACACAAGTTAGCTCAACTTATATTAACAACTCATGTTGGCCCGGATGTTAGCGCGCAGAAAAGCAGAAAAAAGATCCAAGCAAGACCTTCAGGGCAAGTTTGTGAAATATTGTTTATGTCTACGAGATGGTTTCACTTGCAGAAGGTAAGATCGGCCAAGTGACGTTTTGGCGAGCTGTCGATTGTGACGTCATAAATTTACTGAGTGCATTGGACACAGATGTGGAAGAAACTTCGAATCTCCAAAGATCAGGAAGATAATTAAAAAGGTGTTTTAATGATCCCTGTTCCACTGTCAAAACCTGTACCCACTAGTTGATATGTGAATTTGGGAAACAATTGTCCAAGAAAGTTGACTGCAATGCAAATCCATTAATTACTTGGTATAGACAGTTGCTAGCCAATTATTTTGTTTCATTAAACATTTATAGAAAAAAGAACTGTAATCACCATTTGAGATTATGTGAATCAATAAATCAATTGTTTTAGATAGTTGGCATCCTCATAATTTGATTTTGTTATCAATAGTCAGTAGTTACTAAGGTGGCATATTTCTGCCATCGACTTTCGACTTGCGAGTTACCTATGTCGACATTTGCTTTAGAATATGTCGACATTATCTGAGAAGATGTCGACATAATCTATGAATATGTAGCAATAACGTTTAAATTATGTCGACCTAGTTTTACATTTTTCGAGATAATTTTGCTGAGATAATTATCACGTAAGTAGGTAACTCGGCTTTTTATCGTGTTAATGCTCAGATGTGACAACGACTTGTCACTTATTTATGCAAGGCAAAACGAGCAGTTAACAAATCATTCTCCAAGAAATTATCACGTGATTTACAAAAACTAAATTAAGGCTAAATCGTTCTTAAACCTTATCATAAGCACAGTAGTTGTATACATATGACTTTCAGGAGGATTAATGAAACCGTATTAGTAGACAGCGATTATATAATGCTTGTACATAAAATGCATATAATATATAAGAAATCGTTAATATATAGTTATATGCAGGCAGTTTCCACGAGAATTCATGAATTTGTAATGTTAGGCAGTTGTTATATGAATATATTGCACAGTATATAGCTCAGCTATAAAAATTCGAGAATCTGTTAAAACAATACAGACAGTGACTACAAACAGCTTGTATGTAATATATAGCTTTTAACATGGCGATATCATATTAATAGACAGTTGTCAGCTATGACAAAGCTTCAAATGTATGACTGATACAGTTCGGTATTTCATATTAAAGTTGTTTATTATACATGTTAATGATATGTACTTACTTGAACAAAATAAAGATCATCCGGTAAATCATCCTCCTGACAAACTTATATATTGAGACAATGTCGCAAAGAGTGAATGTCGTTTCCTTCATTAATAACATACAAAATATGTTCTTCTTTTGGTCAGAACATTCCGATAGACATTGTTATTGTTGATGTTATTATCGGTTTGATCATTATCCGTCACAGTCTTCAACATCTCTCCGGTCGATGAAGTGTGGATTAGACGACCTAAAACAATGTAATTCGAACAATGTATACACGTGTTCCGAACGTAAACCGACAAATATCACATAGTCGTCTGCTAGTCATACCACGTAGGGTTGTTGACAGCAGCTCGGAGGCTCCTGTGGGGAAATGTTTCTAGGAAACTAATGCTCAAATGCAATTTATATATAAATAAAAGGGATTTATTTAATTCATCAAATACATGATCTTTTGATATGTTATAAGATACAGCAATTGTATCCCGTGTGAGAGTACAATGTACATACATTGTTATGGCCAAGGTAATGTGACGTCATCTGAAAAATATTTCGGCTAATTTGTCACTCTGACAAGAGAGGACAGGGATACTAAGGTATATGTTCATGATTGTTCCACGGTAGGTAAGCCGTGTAATACCGTCGTATACACGTGACCTTTAACACCTTCCCTCCCGTTAAAAAGGTAAAATGAGTACACACAAAATATTACAATGGTAAACCTAAAAAAATATCATTCATGAAACGAAAAGATCACATCCCAGGCACAGGGTCAACAGATTTCTAGGTAAAACAGGTGATCACGTGTAATTTAGATGTAGAATAATTTAAGGCAACTTTTCGTCCCCTGGCGACACCGTGGAGTCCTAGAAGCATGAAACATCTATATGGTGTTGTGTAATTCATTTTTGGCATACTTATGGTGGCTGATTACGGACATTTTGTGTTATCGTACTGTCGTTTTGTCGAAGTAAAAAAACACGATAACGCGACATTTTATTTACTCAATGTCAACTTGTCGCGGTTAAACTGCAACATGGCGACAGACAACACGACAATACGACAACACGAAATGGCCGTAATCAGCCATCACACATACTGTATCTAAACCCAAATTTTAAAGGTGCAATCATGATCACAGGCAAATATTACCACCGGATGTGAGGCTATCGTGAAGCGGAGCTGTATTTTTCCAGCATTTTCTCCTATAAATGTCGCAGCTGATACAACCGAAAGGATTTTTCCGTCTTATAGTGCCTTCACTTGTCAAAGTATTCATGGTTCTCTGTTAAATGGGGGTTTTCCCCGTTGAGACTCTCAGCTTGATACGATTCATGGTGTACCTCATAATGATAGTTTACAGTATGTAGTATTAGGTTTGTCCTCAAAATAAAGCAGAACGTTCTTGATAGCTATACCATGTCTGCATCGTCATTATCACTGAAGAGCTTATTATGAATATATGCCACTGTATATTCATTTTAACACATAACTGAACCGTTTTTCTATGCCATACAGCCACGTAATACATATGGTATTAACCCAAAAAGGTTGGCAAAAACCATGGGAAGGTATTCCTAGCCCACTGCATGTACAAATTTTATTTACTATACCACACGATACATTTACTGTTATTTTGAATGAATGTGAATGGTTATTTTGATATTATTTTCATTGCATTTAAAACTGTTCATTATGAAAGAAAATCTTGAATTAATTTGCACTGCGCGCAACCGTCCCAATAATACAATGATCGGAGTACTTCAGTTTTTACCTTTATAAGTCAGCTGATAACACGTAGTTGTGTTTGAAGTCTTTTTTCATATTATGAATGTCATGTGATAAATAGAATCTTACATGAGTGTCCAAACTGTCCATATGTCATATTGAATTGATTAAACTCGTGAAAACAATATGACACGTACACTCATTGGTATATACAACGAGTAATGTGGTTTTCTTATAGTGTAGAAAAACCTGTTTCAGCAATATAACGTGAAATTTTTAGAGCGATTTTTTTCAATTCAAACTCAAGATGGAACAGACACTGTATACAAAAAAGACTGTAAAACGTCAGGTAGGTACAAGTGGAAAAAAATGGAAAGTTATGCCATGCCATCTAAACATTACTTCAGGGAGCCTGTATCCCATATTTCATAAAATAATATGAGATATTTAATTGTGATAATTAATCTGCAGCGAAAATTTTCCCGGAATACATTATAAACACGACAGGTATTGCGACAATAAGAATTCACATAGGGACCCCAGTTAAAAACTAACATAATGTCTTTTGTGTCGTCTAATGGGCTGACAGAACCAATCTATAAACTGTACGAACAAGGAAAGGCAATAAACAAGTGACTCACCAGGGCTCGGTCACTGCTGGATGGTGTCGATCAGGTATATAGCTTATGTGTTATTATGATGGATTTGGCTGGAGATGAAGTCAACCGCTTTGCTAGAGAGGCCCCAAAAGAGAGAGAAAAATTGGCTTATTTCAAACTCGTAAATAACACATGAACATAATGTACCATGATGTCTTCCAAAGCTTCTCTCTATCATGGCTGGGTTGGTTACTGGTTTTACGTCGTTGGTTACTGGTTTTATTCTAAGTCGTTGGTTACTGGTTTTCCGTCGTTGTTAGTGGTGTTATGTCATTAGTTACTGGATTTACGTCGTTGATTTCTGGTTTTACGTCGTTGGTTAATGTTTTTATGCCGTTGGTTACTGGTTTAAAGTCGTTGGATACTGGTTTAACGTCGTTGGTTAATGGTTTAATGTCGTTGGTTACTGGTTTTACGTCGTTGGTTAATGGTTTAATGTCGTTGGTTAATGGTTTAACGTCTTCCTTTTCGGCCGACGTTAGGGGGTAAGTTGTCGCTTACCAGACTCTCTTAAGATTCACTATCTTGAGTACGTGCCCCTGAATATACTTCTTTACAAAGCATTGTCATACATATTATCAGAAAGAACAAAGGCGTTTTATATATATTGCTGGATAAAGGAATATTTAGAACGTTAGAAATTCCATGTAACTGTATTTGAACAAAGTGTTTTAAACATCAAAAGGTAGATCCCTGCTGCTATATATTTTCTTAGACATGATCGCCAGTTTCTTCTTGACCTTATGCATTCTAAACGGACACAGTCGAAGAACATGATAATATTATAAACCGCTCCACGATATCCAGGGTTTAAACTCACTTTCCCTCTCTGTACACCTGGGATATGTCATAGCAAAAACGAATGCTCAATTTACACCGCCTTGTGGACGAGACGAGAAGACGAGTTTGATCCTTTGATATACACCAAAAGAATATCGCGGTCGCGTAACGGCAAAACGTACTTGCTTTGAAGTTGGGCGTCGCTCCTCTGCAATCTTCAAAGGACAAGTATCAGCCTAATGATTGGTCAGGTTTTTTTACTTGGCACCAATCAAACAGCTAGCCGCGTGTCTTCAATTTTGCTATGACATATCCTAGTGGTGCACCCCTGGATATTGAGGATAGCCCATCTGTCCATTGCTCGTGTGCTTGAAGTAAATGTTCTTAAATCTGTCACCCTGTTAGTTAAACGGTTCTTTAAAGGTCGTTTTAATTAAATTTCATGGATTTAATTACAATAAAACCTCGTTCTATTAGCATAAATTGTTCAGAGAAATGTTATTGTTATAACGGGCTTTGGCGATAACCGAGGGACGGGTATAAAGGATTTCCCAAGAAAAAAGAGACTTTGAAATATGTTGGCGGTAAGCGAAGTAGAATATAAATAGGGACATAAGTTTAGTTTAAACATTTTTATTGTACAAAGATACAAATACAACATAATAAAGTCCTCTCTTCAATATGGTAAAAATGATGTATGTATGTTTTTGGGGAAAGGAGAAGGATTGGGTGGAGAAGGAAGGGGGGGGGGGGGTACCTATAAACACATATAACAACGTACACACATAAATAAAAATATGGAAATATATTTATAGTTATCAAAACATATTGCTGGATTTGATGTAATGGTACACATGCAATATTTTTCTGTGTGGTTTATTTGTAATCGCTAATGATTTTGATATTATAGAGAAGTGTATGATAAAAAGGTTATTATATGACCATTTCAATAACCTACTCCATATCAGCCCTCGAACCGTATCAGCCCGAGGGGACGGAGGCCCGAGGGCTTGTATGTAAATCTCGGGCTGACGTGGAGTAGTATAGGGAAATGGTCATACGATAACCTCTAATAGTACCTTTCTCAATTTGGGGTAGACCTAGCACGGAGCAAGGAGACAGAGACATAGACAAGTAAATACAGGGGTCATTCTGGGGTAAGACCTAGCACGGAGCAAGGAGACAGAGACAGAGACAAGTAAATACAGGGGTCATTTTGGGGGTAGACCTAGCACGGAGCAAGGAGACAGAGACAAGTAAATACAGGGGTCAGTTTGGGGGTAGACCTAGCACGGAGCAAGGAGACAGAGACACAGACAAGTAAATACAGGGGTCATTTTGGGGGTAGACCTAGCACGGAGCAAGGAGACAGAGACATAGACAAGTAAATACAGGGGTCATTTTGGGGGGAGACCTAGCACGGAGCAAGGAGACAGAGACCTAGACAAGTAAATACAGCGGTCCTTTCAAAATTTATTGTATATGGAACGAAGCGTATAGGGTATGTCAGAGTGTGTACACATACAAGGACGTGACTACAGGTAAGCGAACAGGTAATATCATATGGAGACACAGCTAGGAAATTATGTAACCGTTAACCACAGCCGTTATAGTCTTCTTCGTGGCTCAATGCGGCAGGTATGTAACCGTGGTAATTGATATTTCAATATATCCATTAAGGATCTCAAATCATTTTAGTCTATTCTTAGAAGGCTGTTCTAGGGTCATTTCAGGGGAGTGAATTTTCGGATTTCTATACTACTGCGATCAACTCTAGCATGCACCGAGTCTTTGTTTTTAGTATAAACCGTAATTTATAAAAAACAAAATCTTAAAAAACAGCAACAGTAAGGTGAGATAAGCAAAGAGAAGTTTATCAGTTGTACATGTAATGCAAATTATGGGATGTTACTGTAAGTAAGGAACACTAAAAGATCGTTCTTTAGTGTTTTGTCGCAAGCAGGAGACTGGAATCCTGAATACAGATTAAATGAAAAATAATTTGAGATGTTCCCTGATTTCTCTAGTCTCGGTGTCTGTCTCTGACTCCGTGGTTGGTCTGCCTCAAAATGAAAAATGTCTATTAGAAGCAGTACTATAAAAAAACAATGCCCGGTACTCAAATATTGTTTGCAAGCACTGCAATTACCTCGAGCTTCTTTTTTTTTTTTTTATTGATTTTTTTCATTTCATAGACATATACATATTAGACATACATCAACATATTATACAAGTAATTTCAAACACACATCAAATACATACATATATCCACATCTGTGCTCCAGTCTCCACACCGTCTCACCTTCAATTCATATAAGCCTTGGTACATAATTGGGCCCGCATTCCTATACTCAAAAGTATGCTTAAGCACATATACATACAACATATACACACAAGATACACATATATTATATACACATACATACGCACAACACACATACATACATACTCCACACACAACACATATACATACATGTACCTCGAGCTTCTTTCACATTACAGATTCAATATGCATACTAATTAAATATCATACACAGAATCACCACTCAATGGCATACTACTCTTAGTACCCAGTTCCAATACCTGCGGATCACGTATCCGCACTATACAGTAATCTAAGCTGTGCACGCAGTGTAAGCAACAGAAAAGCATATGTAAAAAACAAAATATACATAATATAATTCTTTCAGATTAAAGATCACATACAGTACATTAAATATCTTACACAATTACAACACCTGAAACAAGTCAATAAAATGTCAATCTTCAGTTAAAAAAAGTTTCTGTTCCCGCGAAAACGTACTACATATTTTTACTATGGGCCACGTGCTGCCGCGTCCCTTATCCTTATCTAACATCCCGCGTTCTTTATTCCGTGGGTCTTGTCCCGCGTTATTGATCCCGTGGGTCACATCCCGCGCTCTTTATTCCGTGGGTTTTGTCCCGCGTTCATTATTCCGTTGGTGACATCCTGCGTTCTTCTTTCCGTTGATACTGTCCCACGTTCTTTATTTCTTCAGTCACATCCCGCGTTTTTGATTCCGTGGATCTTGTCCCGCGTTCTTGATCCACTCACACAGCTCACATCTCCCTACAGCTAGCAGATGACACAACACAAGGCGACACCACACATGGTTCCATGATGAGTATGTAGACAAATCACTGCCCGCAGGCACAGGTTCCACAGCACTGCCAGATGATATACAGTCTAACATGCATCCAGGTTCCAGATATGGTACACATCTCAGCTTACAAACCGTTTTGACCTTGACGCCCGGGCCGTCTTCGTCACATGGGTCCAATATTAGCCTCAGATCGGTGATCGTTTCTGTTAATAACTTGAAAGACTCTTGGGACTCTTCACATATATCGTATTTACCCCATCAACAATTTGGGACAATATCTACTAGAAAGTAAAACGATCAAATGTAATAAAACCACAACAGGATGACCAGCAAAGACAGTCAAACATTCGTAGAGTTAATTTAGCCTCCTTATCACTGCAAACAACTAATGATTAACAATCATGAACCTCTACCCTTCCAAGAAAAATGAATGTTGTAACCTACTGTATAGTCGTAAGAGGCGACTAAGGCATGGACCCCCTGCAGCATTGGGGCGTCTTCTGTTTGTGGGAATATTGAAAAAATGAAAATTAGACCTAAAACTATAAACTAAATATATATATATATATATATATAGTAGATAATAAATAAATAGGTCCTTGCGAAGGAAAATATAGAATAAAAACATAAATCTTTCAGATCGTCCGCTAGGCCTTTCTGCCTTCTAGGGCTTCTTCAGACGGATTGTTTCTATATGCATATATATAAAGTACGATGATGGAATGGCTCGGTGCTAAGCACCAAATAGTCAGACATTACAAACAAGAATTGTATATAATTATATAGTTAAAATGCATGCTCAACAACAATTGCACATATACTCATACGCTAATTTTTCAAATGAAGCTTCATTTATATACATAAATTAAATATTGTTAAAATCACAATTTACTACTGTATAAAGAAATGTTTTGACGCTTTATACCAAACAACCATTTGATAGGCATTGTATTGAGCCAATATTGGGCACTGGGGAAATACAAATAGTACTGCATCCCACTGCATATTCACCGTAAAAGGCAAATAATGTGGACTTCACGCAAAATCGTGGGTTTCCTTCGTATCTACTTTAAAGAGGACAACGAAGAGAACAAACTTGATCTGCTACATCTTTCCTCTCTGTCCTCCTGCTTACTTTCTTTTCTATCTAC